AGGATGAGGTATTAGTAATCTCCGTAGAAGACGACAGAGGAGACCCGGCAGCCCACTTACGAGGTGTTTTCTGCTTGTTCTAGATAGAACAAAAGAATGTCATTAGGCGGCCCAAATAAAAAGAGAACACCAACCTTGCCTCCTGCTGCTCCAAGCTTTTTAAAAGACTTCCCGAAAGCCTTCTAGAAAAAGCAGAAATCAGTCGAAACCTGAAGAGTGGACTTACGGATTTCTGGCTGTCCGGGACTGCGGAATCATCAACCTACAGGGAGTCAGAGGAGAGCATAAGATGACAGCATCCTCGAATGATTTATAATGCTTGTTTGGGTTGTTGCAATAATGGTCGCACTATGTGGATTTACGAACTCGCGTTCGCAGGAGTGTTACAGGCAAAACTGACTTGATTTGTCTGTGGACATAAATAAGTTAAATAATGCAATTGTAAAAAAAACTTCGATGACCTTGTTGGGATCTGCACTCATGACAGAAGAGGTAGCGATATGACACAAGCGGTGTTCCTACCACCTAGGCTATGAGATCCACACTGAGAGCCTCGATTTTTTCGCGCTAGGACTAGGTTATCTGCCTGACCTACAGCAATGTATGACATTCATTAGATTCAAGACAGTGGGCTGGCTTCCCGAATCCACTACCAGACTCACTGGTTGAAGGGTTTTCCTGAGTGGATCGGTTAATTATGAAATCTGCCAGAAGCATCTGATAGGTATCTGATGCATTTGGAACTGACTGCCAAGGAGATGGTGGATGCCATACGCCGCAGTAGGTTGGGCAGTTAACCTGGCATAGTAGCATAGTAGCGCAGGTGGTTAGAACGCCTGCTGTGCTGAAGCTCTGCACAAATCCGGCCGGGGATCCGAATCCCATCGAAGTCACCGAGTTTTTTTTATCGCAAATGGGCCAGCTGAATTATTTAAATCTCACAAAACAAAGGTGTCCAGAGCGAACGCATTGTAACCAAGTGGACTAACCCTTGTGAACGCCGTTCCCGCGGAGGCCTTCTTGCCTTTTGACTTTTCGCGCTAAAGGAGAAGGGTAAGGGTTCGGAGTTGGTGAAATCACCACACTTACTTTCTTCTTTGCCTTCATCGGTTTCGGATGTGCTGAAGAGGAAAATTACAGCGTAAGAACAAAACAAAAATGAAATTAGTACAGTGGCTTTGCCCAGTTTCAGTCTAACGGACCATAGGGCATGACACGAACTGAAGAGGATTTA